TAAAAAAAGAAAGAGAAAGGAAAAGGAAGACAGAAAAAGGCAAATAAAGACAGAAAAAAAAGACACACGGACAGACATACACAGAAAGAAGGAAAGACAGACAGACACTCACTAGGACCCGGCCCCAGCTCGCGGCGTCTCGGAGCCGGGAGGCCGGCGGCGCGGCACGAATGTCTCGGGGCGAAGCTGATCTTTAAGGCGACGCCGGTCAAGGGATGTAGGTGCTTCGAGCTGTGAAACAAACTATTTATTGAAGGAAGAGGGAAGCACTGCCGACCCCCAGCGTGTGTGTGTGTGTGCATGTGTGCGCGTGTGTGCGCGTGTGGGCTCGGCCCGCCTGTGGTTGTGTTATTTATTGTTTATTTTTTAGTTTTGCTTGGGTCGAATGTCCCGGGATAGATGGTATTTTAATGATGCAGAGTGTAAATTTGACATTGGGTGGCATTTGCCTCCCTCTTCCTCAAGCTTCTTGCTTCTCCCCCTCTTTCTCTCCCCTCTCTTCTCCTCCAATTTATGAACAGCTACAATGATTTACGGCGCGGCCTGGGGCTTATGCACACGCGTTTTCAGGGATTGCAGGCATACGGCAGCTTTGCCCCAAACCTACGGTCTCGGGAAAAAATCCATTATCCCTTCTGCTAGGGTGGGGCTGGGGGCGGCGGTCGGGCAAGCTTCTTCGCGCTGTTCTGGCGTCTGGGGGCTCTCGGGCCTGACGCATTCCGCGGCCCCGGCTGCCCGGATTTCTGGATTTTGTCCGACGGTGTAGTTTGAATGTACATCTTGTAAAACTGAGATATAAATAAACTTATAAATATTTGTATTCAAGTGTTAAAAAAAACCACGCTCGCCCTTTCCCCCCTGTTTTGTGGGCGCCTCGCCTTCTTTGGTTTGATCTTGTTTTCTTGTATGTTTTGACACCGGGGCTCACGCCGCAGCCGGGCCGGCCTCGAACTCACAGGAACCCCCGTGACTCGGCGGCCCCACGCCCGGCTCAAGAAAATGAACTTAAAAAAATGTTAGTTTTCCCCTGTTGGCTCGAAAGCGTCTTATCTCTTTGGAGCAGGAGCAGGAGCAGGAGCAGATGGGGCTGGTGGGGCCGCCGGGTGGACGCCGAGTCACCAGCCGCGGCGTCCCTTTCCTCCGTGTCGTGGCCCCAGGGCTGCACTCCTGTGGGTTGTCCTCAGGCCCTGGGTCAGATCAGGATGCCGGGGCTCTTTGGCTGCCACGCCGCTGTCCACGTGGCAGGCCGTTCGGGCAGAGCGGGGTGGCCGCGGTGGCCGGGCGGCTCCTGCGGGTGCCCGAGTGCGACACAAAAGCAGATTTGCGGCTCCCGCTCCTGGTGTCTCTGTTTCTGGTTTCCGGGAGGCTTTGAGTCATGCCTGCGCTTTGCATTCAATCAGTAAAAGCCCGGGGGTTTAAGGAAAAATGCAGGAAGAGAAAAACACCAGGCAACCAGAAACTCCGAGAGAAATGAGATTTGCAAAGCAGACTCCACAGGAAAAAAAAAAGAAAGAAAGAAGGAAAAGAAAGTGGTTGTTTCGAACTTGGCCAGCACAGCCACGTCCGAAAGCGGAGACCACCGGCGGAGACCCGGCTGCTGAGTGGCTGCCGCGCTGGCGCGCTGCAGATTTTTATTCCTTTCCTTATTTTTGTTTCTTTTGTTTAAACTTGGAGATTTCTGGACAGAAAGGCAAACGACTTGGTGTGAGCAGGCTTTCCTGGCGTCTTCGCCGCTCTGCCCTGAGACACTGCTCGCTGCCCGTCCAGGTTCCGAGCTGGCCCGGTTCTGCAGGGACCAAACCCGCAGGCGCTTCTGCAGAACACAACGGGGGGGCCGCAGGACGTGGGCGGGTTGTGCAGAGCACAGTGCAAGCGGGCAGAGCCGTGAGCCCGTGTGTGGCCCGCGCAGTCCCCTGAAAGCTGCCTGGAGCCCGCGTCGGCCGCATCCAGCAGGCCCAGCCGCGGGAGGAGCTGTGGCCCGGCCCCCGGGCTCCGTTCACACCGGGCTCCGGGCAGCGCGTGTCGGCCCTGGCGGCCGTTGTCTTCTGTCCCACCTTCTCTGCAGAAGGGTGCGGCGGTCGGGGACACCTGAGAGCTGCCAGGCTCCGGGCCACCATCAGGGGCCCCTGGTCCCTGCGGATGGCCTGCGGCCCCAGCACACACACCAGGGCTGCACCCCAGAACCCGGGTCCAGCGCAGCGGAGCCCTGGCAGGCGGCAGCCAGGCTTGGCCTCCAATGTTTCCGCGGCATGAAAGCCGGAGGGACCCCACAGGGAGGCCTCCCTCCCTCCGCGCCGTGAGGACCGGGCGGGGTGCTTGGCAGAAAGGACCTGGAGGTGCTCGGCTCAGCGCCGTAAGTACCCCCTTGCCGCTGCTGCTCGGGATCTGGGCATGAGTCTTCCAAGGCGGCCAATTGGACAGTCACACATTTTGAAATTCTTTCAGGAAGGCCGTGTGGGGTACAGGAGACAGGTGTGACCCCAGAACCCAGGAAGCTGAGGCGGGGGTGATGGCAAGCCCCACCCCAACCCAGGCAAGGATGCAACTTAGGGACTCAGCAAGGGACTGTCTGAAAATAAAACATAAGGGAGGGCTGGGCGTGCAGCTTTAATTGAGAGGAGCAGCGGCTGGCACGGCTCACGGTGCAGAGGGTGCGGTCCACGGCGGCCGCCCCAGGGCGGGAGCATCGCGGCCGATGGGCGAGGGGGCTGAAGCTGTGCCCAGCCTGGGCCGCGGAGCGGGGAGAGCAGCGGGGAGCTGGGGACAAGCGCCCCTCTACCCCGCCCCTGGCCGTTGTCCAAGAGCGGGCTGCAGCAGCCCAGCGGACCCCACCGTCTGACCCGCGTGCCCGGGCCTTGCAGACCTGGCCTCCCGTTGCAGGCCACGGTTCCTTCCGCATCCCTGGCGCGTCTTGGCGAGCGGTCCAGGAAGCTCAGCAGAGGAGCCTCGGGCAGGCGGCCCGCTCTGTGTACCTTGCAGGGGTGAGGGAGGAGGGGTGCGGACCGCGTGCGGGTTGTCTGCGGCTGGGGGCTGCGGGTGGGCTCCCTGAGCAGGAAGCAGGTATTCGAGGGGATTAGGGGCAGCTCGGGGTACAGCCTCTTGGGCGCCTCGAGAGCGGACGCCGACCTTCGAAGAGAAGCCAAGAGGCAGACTCGGCGTTCATGCCCTTAAAACCCCACTTGGAGTGGGCAAGGTGGCATGCGCCTATCACCAGCGCTCGGACGCCCGGCCATGCCTGGGACATCGGGGCCCACGACAGAGGGCTAATTTCTGCTGGAAGGGATTTCGGGGTCACGGGATGTCCGGGTCCCAGAGCGGCACCCGGCTGTGTCTTGCAGTTCCCCGTGTTCTTCAGCAGCATGTGCGACCATGCGTTCCTGGCTCCTAAGGCCAGACCTTCCGCTGGGCGCGGCCTGGGTGTCCCCAGGTGGCACCCGACCCTTCTGTCTGCAGCTGAGCCGTTGAGTTTCCACCAGCGTCCAGTTTCCGGGGATGGACACAGGAACACAGCAGCTATTGCTTTTCTGTTGCTTTTCTGGGTTCTTTTAGTCGTTTCAGGGACGCAGCACTATTGCGTGCTACTGACCTCATTAATTATATGTCCAGGCAGAAAGCCCCGCGCGTTCGCTGAGAAACACACAAAACACTCCAACTCCGAGACATGTTCATCAGGGTGAAAAGACAGAGGTGTCTGCAACCGCTTCGGATAGCTTTATCCCCAGGGCAGCTGCTCCTCTCGTTTCTCACTGTAGATTATTCTGTTCTATTAATATAAAATGAACAGAGTCACACACTCTGTGGCCCTTTGGGTGGCTTCTTCCCCTGAGTGTCATGGGCTCAGGTCCCAGCCATGCTGCGGCAGAGGGGAGGGCCCCGCCCCTTTTTCATGGCTCTATAATATGCCCCACCGTGTGTATGGATTTTACAGGCAGTGTTTCTCTTTCTAAGATTTTGTGTGGATGTTTCCCATTTTTGTGGAAGGGAAGGAAGGGAAATGCCGCACGCCGTATGAGCCCTGTGTTGAAAAGCTTTTGAGCCGCCTGTCAGCTGTTCTCCAAAGCCAACCACACTTTCGGATAAGAAGTATCGGAAAGGCTGCATCCCCCCGATTGGGGTGTTGTTTGCCGTCTTCCATGACAGCCAGAGCACCTGGGTCAAGTTTAATTCTACCAGAGTTTTGATTTGTGTTTTGTAATGTCAGGCACACTTTTAGGTGCTTATTAGTGGCCTGCGTATCTTCTCTGGAGCCATATTCATTTAAATCCTTTTCTTGGTTTTAAATTAAGCTGCTTGGGTCTTTATTTCTGAATTGCAATTCTTTTCATGTCCTGGGTACCAGACCCACATGACTGCTCTGCGAGTTGTCATTTTCAATCTTCCTGTCACGTTTCGTGAAGCCCAGAAGTTGCTGGTTTGGATCGGTCCACATGGCTCTAGTTCATACTTTGGGGTCTGAGTGTCACCATGCAGCCCAGCTGGCCTCGAACTTGCCGTGTAGCGCAGACTGGCCTTGAATTCACAGCGATCCTCCTGCCTCAGCCTCCCAAGCTGGCATGATGGGTGATGTCCCTGCGCCTGGCCAAACTGATCTCTTTTAAGTTTTACCTTCTACTTTTTTCCCCTGTGGCTTTGATTTCCATCTAGGAAACCACTGTGTGATCCGAGGCCACGAGCCCACTGCTGTGTTTTCTTCTAAGAGTTTCCTAGTTCGAGCCCTCAGGTTTTAGTCTTTGATACATGGGAGGTGTGAGGAAGAATTTTTATATGTGGTGTGAGGAAGGATTTCTCCCTTCCTTCCTTCCTTCTTTCCTTCCCTCCTTCCTTCCTTCCTTCCTTCCTTCCTTCCTTCCTTTCCTTCCCTGTACTGGGGACCATCCAAGGACGTAACCCTGGACTCCATCCCAGCCCATTTAAAAAAACCATTCTTTTCGAGACAGGGTCCCACCATGTCACTAAGCTGCCCAGGCTGGGCAGAAATTTGAGCTCGCCTGCCCCAGAGTCCTGGGCAGCTGGGGTCCCCACATGCGCCAGCACCGCGGTGGTCCCTGCTCCTGCGCACCCCCAGGGGTTGGTGAGGATTGCTGGCACCTTCCGGCGGGCGGTGAGAGCGGGCCAAGGCACGGGGCACTTGAGGTGCACACAGCGGAATCACTCAGACATCCTGGGGCCAGTACGGGAGGGGATGGGGAAGGGTCAGGCACAAGGGATTCACGGGGTCACGCCAGGGCACAGGGTGTGACAGGGTCCTGGGCACCTTGCTGTGTGCAGGGCACGGCTTGGGGGCAGCTATGCCTGGGGACAGGTCCCAGATGCAGACAGAGGGGCAGGAGGACAGATCGTCGACTGACTGATGGGATGTCGGGGAGCCGTCGGGGGCTGGGGGAAGTGGAGGGGGCAGAGGGAGGGGACAGAGACAGAGACAGAGGGGGGCATGAAGACAGAGACACCCTACAACAGGGAGGCATTGACCGAGAGACTGAGACGGAGACAGAGGGACTGGGAGATGGGGGATGCAGAGAGACAGGCGTAGTGGGAGAGAGAGGTACCGAGGGGCAGAAAGACAGAGGTTTTAGAGACAGAGACACACACTGGAAATGGAGGCAGAGGTGCCAACAGGCAGGGAGGGTGGGTTTGGCTTTGTGTTTTGGAGCTAGGGTCTCACTATGTAGCTCAGGGTCTCACTATGGCCTTGAACTCACGGAGATCCTCCTGCCTCAGCCTCCCTGGTGCTGGGCTGACAGTTGTGCATACTATGCCTGGTTACTTTAGAGGTGAATGTCCACGGGGCAGGGTGGGGCAGGGCAGGGCAGGGCAGGGCAGGGCAGGGAAAGAAAGGAAGGGAAGGGAAGGGAAGCAAGCGCTGGCAGCTGGGGGCCTGAGATCTCCTCAGGGCAGCGCTGGGTGCCGGGTGTGGCACAGGGACATCGGTATTTTCCCTACTGATCCCCACCTGTTGGACATGTGGGGATTCACAGGGGCTCAGCCACAAGGGACCACAGCCAGGGCATAGCTTTGAGCCACAGCCCCTCTCTCGGGCTCCAGAGTTGGGGACACCTCAGCAGAAAGGACCCTAGACGGTCCGACCCATTGCACGTTGGGTTCTTGTTTGATTGCAGGGGAGGGGGGAACCCTTTTCCAACATCCCCTTCCCCCACCGGGGCCCGATTCTGTCACTCCGTGGGTGGCCGACACCAACGCCACACTCATCTTCCAGGAGGACAGGTTCGCTGGGCTCACGGTGCAGAAGGTGCAGGCCACGGCGGCTGCTCCGGGCAGGAGCATCAGGGCGGACGGGCGCGGGGCAGGAAAGGACCTCAGGACGCGACCAGCTGCCCGAGACCCAGCACTCAGCGGCCGGCCGAGGTTCTGGGG